TGTGCAGAGGGTGGTGCTCAGGACACCCGTGCCAGAAGCAGAGTAAGATCAGCTAGTGTTCCCTTGACTCCCTGGGAGTTCAGAAACTGTCATGGCTGCTCAGGAGAGATCAAACCAGCTTCCCACCACGTCCTGAAGCAAGCTGGTGCTGGGACACTCCTAGGGAAGCATGGGGTGCTTCCCAATCCCCTGCAGGTAGAACAGGTATTGTTCTTTCCCCTACAGAAAAACATAAAACACTTTGAAATTGTGACACCTTGGTCAGGTTGTGATCATGACACCATGTCTGAGTTCTGATTGTGACATCATGGTCAGGTTCTGGTTCCACCATTGCCTGACCATGATTGTGACATCATGGTCAGGTTCTGGTTCCTTGCTCAGGGGCAACTGAGCAGAGCCTGAGTGCTCAGGCCCAGGGTAGACTTTCTGTGTTGTCTCTGATGCGTATGTGAGTGACTCCCATCCATACTCCGAGCAGTGCCATGCTGCCAAAGCCTGTGGCAGACTTGTTGTGGCTCCTTTGGCTACTGAGTAAGTGCCCACTCTCCTGGGGCTAGAGCCTGGGGCTGGGGCTGGAGGGAGGCCTGAAGCTCCTGTTCTGCTGCTGCCACCTCCCATCTCTCATCACACCACTCGACTGGGCCCACAGGCCATGCCAACCCTTGGCTCTGCTCATCTGGGGGGTGTCTGAAGGCTCTTGGAGGCATTGCAGGGTGGGAGATGGAGGAGGGTGTGGAGGCAGGAGGGGAGGCAAAGGGAGGGAGGGAGGGGATGGAGGGGTGTCTCCATGGAGGAGCACAGACCCATAGCATGGTGCAGGGCACAGCTCACAGGGGCACACAGAGGAGCTAGTGCCAATGCGGGTGCCTCTGGAGGCGGGGGAACACACTCATACAAACCAACCAACCAAAACCAGCAAAAAACCCCATCCCAAAACAAACAAAAAAAATCAAAACACTTCCCTCCAAACCAAACCAATCTCACAACAAAACCCAACTTTCAAACTTTTATATTTTTTCCCCTCTTTTTTTCCCCTTTTCCCTTCTTTATTTTCTTTCCCCTTTCTTCCCTGCAAGCAGGGGTGATGGAGGGAGACCTCAAGCCAGCACCTGAGGGCCTCATCCCTGTGCCCTGCTCTGCACCAGCAGAGAGAAGCAGGCCAGCCTGAGCTGCTATTTCATTTCCACACACTGGTTGCCCCCCATTAAGGACCGTGAAGCACAGACTATCCCAGGTCTCTCTCCCATAGGTCTGCTGACTTTGCCGATGGCTGCTGTTGCTCCACCAGTGCCCCCTGCTCCGGGCAGTCCACTGTCAGACTGGGAGTACGAGCAGTTCTTTGCAAGGCTATATCCCCCTCGGAAAGCAAACAAGTTCTGCCTGCTGCGCCAGGCTCAGGGCTGCCTCAGCCCCATCATCCTGCAGCTGGACCAGGATGAGAACCACGGACAAATCCCCAAAGGTAAGGGCATCACCACACCTCCAGGGGCAAAGGAGGGCATGGCCCTGGCTGGACCACTGCCAGCTATTTCTCTGCCCCAAAACGCCACAGGGTTGCTGGAATGGTGGTGGGATGGGTTATTTTGGGGTCTCTAGCCCAAAATCCAGCTTGGAACAGGACACTTCCAGGCCCTTGGAAGGGCCTTCTTTTGGCCTTGGATGGGCCTTCATATGGACATGGAGGGATCTTCTTTTAGCCTTGAAAGAGCATGCTTTTGGATTTGGATGGGCCTTTTTGACATGGTTGGGCCTTCTTTTGGACATGAATGGGCCTTCTTTCGGCCTTGGAGGGGCCTTCATTTGGACATAGATGGGACTTGGATGGGCCTTCTTTTGGCCTTGGATGTGCATTCTTTTGGCCATGGATGAGCCTTATTTGGCCTTGGATGAGCCTCCTCTTGGCCTTGGATGGGCCTTCTTTTGGCTCACGATGGGCCTTCTTTTGGCCCACGATGGGGCTTCATTTGGATATGAATGGGCCTTCATTTGAACATGGATGAGAGTTGGATGGCCTTCTTTTGGCCTTGGATGGACCTTCTTTTGGCCTTGGATGGGCCTTCATTTGAACATGGATGGGAGTTGGATGGCCTTCTTTTTGGCCTTGGATGCGCCTTCTTTTGGCCTTGATTGAGCCTTAGTTTGGCCTTGGGTGGACCTTGTTTTGGCCTTGGATTGGCCTTCCTTCAGCCATGGATGGGCTTTCATTTGGCCATGGATGGGCCTTCATTTGAACATGGATGGGCCTTCTTTTGGCCATGGATGGGCCTTGTTTTGGCCAAGGATGGGCCTTCATTTGGACATGGATGGGCCTTGGATGGGCCTTCTTTTGGCCTTAGATGGGCCTTCTTTTAGTTTTGGATGGGTGTTCTTTTGGGCTTGGATGGGACTTCTTTTGACTTGGAGGGGCCATCTTTTGGCCTAGGATGGGCCTTAATTTGAGGAGTCTTTGGGCAAGAGAGTTTGGTTTTGTGGCCTCTCTGGGCATCCCTTCCAGTGCTGCACCACTTTTCTGTAGAATAAAAGCTTTTCCCAATGACCTGTCCTAACCTCCTAAGCAGAAATTTGCATGTTTTTTCCTCCTTGTGTTGTCTGGTACGACCAAAAGTTTGTCCTCTTGTAGCTTTCCTTTGGGTCTTTGTGGGCTGCTGTAATTTCTCATCTCCTCTTCACCCAGCTGAACAAGCACAGCTGCCCCAGCCTCTGCACACGTCATGGGCTGAAAGCCATGGCCACTTCAGTGACCCTTCATTTCACCACATCTCGGTTGGTGGGGTGAGAGGGGAAATAAGTGACCAGAGTTTTCTGAAGCTCACTGAAGCTCCTCATCTCTTACCAGCTCCTTCCAGCTTGATCTGGGGTTTAATGTGGAAGCTTGGCTCATGGGCTCTCATAGGTATTTAAGAAAACTTGAGATGATTAGCTGTCTTTTAAAGTGTTTAACATCTCAGGAGCCAAGAAACATCCCAGTTCAGAAAGCACCATAGCAACAGCACCCTTCAAATCTCTGCAGTCATACTTTCCCTGCACCCCTGCATCAGAGAATTTAAGTGGCATAATTATATCTGTGCAGCTGAAAAGCTTGGGACTACTTCTGTTGTATTTTTCTTCAGAGGAAAAAAAAATAGGAACAATTTTCTCATAAAAAATATGTCTTTATATTTAGCTATGAACGTCAATGAGCTGAATGATCAGCCAACTGTGCTTATTTGGACTGCAGCTTGAGGACAACTATTTCTTGCTGGTTTCTGCAGCTGTATCAGAGGAACAGGTCCCACTCCACATCACCAGACCTAGGGCTGGGTCCTGGGGTCCTCACTCACTTCTGGATACCTGCAATCCACCATGCCATGGTGCTAGGTGCACCCAGGGTCTGTCCCTGGCTCCCTTTCTGGTGATGCCCAATTCCCTGGCACTGCTCTTTGTTGTATCCAGCCACACTCCCATTGCTGCTGTCTTTGGAGACTCAGCTTACAAGAGCAGAGTCATCTGGAAATGTCAGGAGATGGGACAATTTTGCAGGGTGCCCCCTTTTACCTTCTTTTCCTCAACCCCTCAGCCTCACAGACTCATCCAAGCAGACTATTCCTCTTCATGTTCCCTTTTCTCCAGTTTTGGGGCTATTTTGGCAGAGCATGTGCCACTGAGATCCTCACAGAGCTGTGACAGAGCTCTCTACATCCAGATATACATGAGCATTAATTGTGCCTCTGTAGGTGAGATGCTTAGGAAGGCAGTTACCCTGTGCTTTAAATAAAGGACAGGGTGGGGATCTAGAGCATTCCCTACAAGTTGGACATTTTCTGGCGGATACTTGAAATTCTACTTTTGATGGTGGCACTGTATGATCAGCACAAGAAGTTCATACAGGGTAAAAGATGGTGGACAAGCAACTAACAGGACCGCAGTGCAATTTCACCGCTAACCTGCTCCCTCTCCAGCAGTGCTTGACCTGTTCTGTGTGTGCACACGTCTGGCTATGCTAACCCAGCTGTGCACTCCTAGAGCAGAAGGAGTACAAGATCACTCTCCCTTCCCAACTCTCCCAGGGTTTTGTGCTCTCCTGCATGCCCTTGGCTTTCCTGTGGTTACAGCAGGAACAGCTGCAGCTATGGAGTCATTATGTTGGCAGTGCTGGTCAAGACTACAGTGTATGTGTGTACAGGCACACATTTTGCCAGCAGCATCCGGCCCTATGGACTTATCTCAATCCCCTGCACAGCTGTAATTGATGTCACACTATTTTGCCAAAAGATATTTTCTTCTCTGGAGCAAGTTGCCAAGAGAAGCTGTGGCTGCCTCATCCCTGGAAGTGTTCAGGCCCTGGAAGTGTTGGATGGGGCTTTGAAGGTCTAGTGGAAGGTGTCCCTGTCCATGGAGTGGGACTTGGAACTAGATGATCATAAAGGTTCCTTCCAACCCAAACCAGTCTATGATTCTATGATTCTCTGGTGCTCCCAGGTCTAATCTGGTCATCTTTTGAACTTATTGCAGCAGTATTTGCCTTTTTCCTTTTTTTTAACCCTGCAAGAACTAATAACAGAATCATCAGATCCTGGAAACAGAAAGTTTGGGTCTCTGTCATAGGGAAGATAACTGTCAAAAAGAGCAGAAGGATGAAGTAAAACCTTGGGGGAGGCGGAGGGAAAAGGCATGTGGCACCAGGGATCAGGAGCTATAACAGGCCAAGGCTGTGATCTCCACCTTGGGGTGGACAGCTTTGACTTTCCTGTATCCACAAACCACCATGTGAGACGTTCCCATCTCTTGGTGCACCCAGGCCAAGGGGACAGATGCCGAAACCTGTGGCCTGCCTCCATCCCACATTTCTCTCTCTCTCTCCTCTCCAGGGCCAATCTGCACTGAATTTCCAGAGGTCCTGCAATTTCAGACCTTCTGCCAGTTTGCCCACTACCGCTGCCTCAGAAAGAAGTTCTACACCAAGGTGGGGAGTGGGATTCGGATGGGGTGGGGGTGTATGCCTTGAGAGATGGAAGGAGTGAGGAGGAAGGGAAGATAACATAGTAAGACTCATGTTTCTTCCTCTCTCCTCCACTCAGCGAGTCCCATGTTTGCCTCTAAGGAAGCCATTCCAAATGAAGCAATTTCACACAGTGAACTCCTTGGCAGTGGGCAAAATCACCCCTGACAAAGCAGGTATGTCTGCACCAAGCTGCTCTGGGCACCTCTGCTCACATGCACTGATTTCCTGTAGGTGCTTTTCCACCCCCAGCAGCTTCCTGGCTGGCCTGAAAAAGACGCCTTCAGCTGCTCCATCCCTCTCTCTCCCTAGCTTTGGAGCAGGCTTCTCTGTCACCTGATAATGCCCTGCTGCGTGACAGCATGGAAACACTCCTGAAATACGCTTACACGCTGTTGGATCAGAAATCACTGTCAGCAAAGTCCCTCCCAAGCACACCAGAGGTGACAAGGCCCTCACAGAAGACTGTGCTCCCATCAACCGTGCTGGTCCCGGTTGCCACTACCACCTTGCCTCCCAGGGTGGAATCCCCTGAAGACCAAAGCCTGAAGGACACCATCCAGCGGCTGATCAATTCAGCCCTCTCCTTGGATGCATCCCAGGCCATCAAGGACTCTTCTTGGGATGTCAAGTCAAAGGCACAAAACTTCTCAGTGCAGGAAAAAATCCCCCGTGGCAGGTGAGGGGAAGACTGGTCTTTCTGGTTACCACACACCGCCCATGCAGGGCTGTCCTCATGCACTCTGTCTGGCAGCTCCACGGCATCCGTGTCCCTGCTCAGGGCAGGTGGGAAGCATGGGCAGGCTTTCTGGAGCAAACTGTCCCACCCAGAGAAGGAATGTACCTGGGGACCCCCTCAGACCCCCTTGTCGTCAGCACAGGGTAAGCAGGGAGAAAGTGATCCAGCACTGCTATAGTGCCTGTCATGCCTGTATGTCACTGCCATCGTGTCCTGAGCAAAGTGAGTTGAGACTGGGCCTCATCTGCAGGCAGAGATGTGCCCATGTTTCCCACACTGTGGCCATACTCAGTATGTGATCACCTCACCCCTCTCCCAGCATGTCCCCTAGGCATCCAGATGACATGCATAGGTCCTCGGGATGTCTCACTGTGCTCTATGCCTCTCTGTGTGCAACATGAAGCAGATGTTTTTTAAAATAGTATTGTCTGAGGAATACTCTGAGGAGTGCTTTGTCTTCACCCAGGCAGAGCAAAAGCAGTCCCAGAAACGGAGCCAGGAGCACGAAGCCTTGCTCTTGGCTATGCAGGACCACTACTTCTCCTCAAGGACATGCACCTTTCTGCACTCTGGACCTGTGCATAGCTCTTCATAGGGGCTTTCTGGTTCCTCACTCTAGTTTGGAAGCAGCTACATGGCAGTTCAGCGCAGGGCCCTGTGACAGCCCAGCTTGCTGCAATCCTTTTACGCATCCTTCTTAGTTCCTCTGGCCTATGTTTGCTTTAGGAGCTTGTGAAGCATCTTGAGCCCGTCTCAGCTTCTCTGCTGAGGATCCATTTGCCTCTGTCCTCAGGTATCTGATGAGCACACACAAGAGGATCACAGGTTTTCACTCAAAGTTACTCTCTGATCCTTTAGTACTTTGTGGCTGAGGACCCCTTGCTTTGACTGAGATACGAAGATTATTTTGCTTACCAAGATTAAAAATAATGCTGTCTAGATGTGGTTTTCATGGAGAAGCCATTTTGTGTTGGCTAGTGATGTTCCTGTAAGTGCACAAATTTTGTGCATGACTGGACCTACATGGTTTCTCTTAAACACACTGCCTACTACTACTAGAGTTGAGCCAGAGATTTTACTTCTGCATGTAAAAATGAATTGCACTGTGTTGCTAAAACCATAACTGTTCTCTTGCAAGGGTGTAACTTATGTCATACTCCTTCCTAATATTGTAGGAAGCTTTTACTGCCCGACAAAATTTTTCCTGGTGTATGTACTCTAAGGCAAAATTGTGTTTCATTGAGGATGTGTTCATTTTCCCTGCCCCTGAAATCAAGCCTTGCTCTGACTTAGTTCAATTGGGATTATTGAGAGAGTGCTGTGATTGCAGATGACACTTGCTATTCTGCCGCAGAGTTTCTCAAAGACACTAAAGCTGACTGTGTGTCTGTAACCTGGCAGCGGAGCCTCATCAATCATGCTAAGCAAAGCTTAAACTCAAGCAAGGATAAAAAGGCGAGATAGACTGCGCCTGTCGGCTTTGCTGCTCACCACGTTCTGCCTCCTCTCAAAGGGACTTCAAAGCATGACCTAAAAAAGGGGCAAAAATGCTTTGAGGCATTTCCATTCCAGCAAGATGAGCAATGCTTGGTGGGACTGGTCGGTGTGCACAGGTGCCATTCATGTTAACACAAAGTTTGCAGGGTTGTGATGGGCACAGGCAGAACCCAGGGCTGCGTGTCTTCCCTAGGGTCTTATGTTCAGTAGGACATCCATCCCTTCTTCTTGTTCATCCCTGCTTGCAGCAGCTGCTTTGGTAGCTCTACCAGCTTTCATAGTACTCAGTGAAGTTAACTGTGACTTTTAGAGAGAGGACAAGAGCAGTAATATAACAAGATCTGCAGCATGTTTTTGTGGCCTTTGCTCTAGTGGTGAGTCATTATGGGGAGGGAAAAATGTCCATTTTTGCACTTAATTTCAATTTTTATTCCTTATTATGCTTCCTGCGTTATTTCCCAGTATTTCCTCTCCTCAGAGTTATCATGATTCAGTCTTGCAATAAGCTGAAAAGAGCCCTGTAACTCTTACATTATAAAGCCTGTGCAACTCTAATTTTCTGTGGCAATTTTCAGTGTCTCTTTAAAACATACGGACGTTCCTGCTCTATATGCACCATCCAGCAATGCATTTCAGCCACTGGATACATAGAAGGACATCACTCTCCCTTCCCTGCTTTTCTGTTTGCACACAAGGATTGTGTTTGCCTTTTTATCCAGTGCTTCCCACTGTTGCGTTTTTGTCAGCTACAACTCCTACACTCCTTTAAGCATCACAGCTGCCCTGGATACAGACTTTATCGTGTTGGTATTCACACACGGATGCTCACTCATGGTTCACACGAGCCCAGCTTCCCCAGCAAGCTTGAGTTGAACCCTTCTGCTGGTTTGCTCTCCTCCTCGCCTCCTCCTGCTCGCCTCCTCCTGCTTTACTCCTCCAAACAGTCCTTGTGGTGCTTTATGTACTTCAAGCCCAGCAGCTCTAATTTTAAGGCCAGACTCATTGTTAAATATACCATTCCCAGCAAAAACTCTTTTTGAATTATCATCACCCATATCCAGCCTTGGTATGCAGGTCAAGATCTCCTTTTTTTTGTTTCTGAAGCTGTTAAGAATGGCTTTTTCCTTAATGGTTTTGGTTTCCTACAGCAACCTCCCTAAAACAGAAGTTAGCAAGTGCTGGAAAGCTGCTGTTTGCACCTTATCTTCTTTTCTGCTCGCCTCAGGTGCTCACTCCACCTTACACAGTCAGCCAGTATTGGGGAGGTTCAGTAGCTGAAAGTTAACGGCCTAAATCCTTGTCGTTCCATTGAGGGAGAGGCGGATGCTGCTCACCAGCTCTCTGCAGAGATACTGCTGAAACAGGCTCTGTCTGTGTCATTCCACATCTTGAGACGCTAAAGTATTATTAGCTTTTATCTGAAGTTTTCTCTTTTTGCCTTGGAGCAATTACTGATCTAGGCCCACATATTCTTCTTAATTCTGTTGTTTTTCACATTCCCTTTGAACTGTTCCCTCACGGTACCTGTAAAGCTTTTTTCCAGGGCGGTGGTTAGGACAATAACATGCAGAGGTACTAAGCTGTGGATGGATTTGCACTAGGAAAAACCATTTTAGATAGGCCTATACCTGTCCCTGAATCATGGCGAAACTTCTCTGCATCCACAAACAGCTCAGTAGCATGTCAACAAGTGTAGGGGACCAGCAGTAGTGCTGTTGTACTCATCCAGAGGTGGCAAATCAGCTCATAAATTTGCAACTGTGAGCAGAAAATCTCCCAGCCGAGAGTGGGGAGGAAAAGGATGTGACACAGAATTTCTCGGTAACCTCAGGCTGATGTCACGACCCAGTTTTCTGGGAGGCTGGTGTCTTTTAACCTTTGGGCCAAGCACGCTGGCCTTCCTGCTCAGCATCAGACATGAAGCCATGTCTGCTGAGCCCTGAACTAAAAAAGAGCATTGTGTGATTGAGCTACAGACCCTTCTCCTAGAAGTTTGGGATATCTTTCTGAAGTCTCCAAACGGTGGAAAACTCACCCCATTAGCTGCTCCCTCGTGTCAGGAATGTGCAGCTAATTTCTGGTTTGAATGCATCTCACCCCAAATTCCAGTCCTCAAAAGTAATTACTCTTCCATCTGCTGACAAGGACAGCTTTCCAGCTGAAGCCCTCCTTGATAAAATTGTTGACTGACTGAGTGGTCACCCACTAGTGTCTTTGCTCAGCTAAGTGAAGCTTTTTGTTCAGCTAAGTGAAGAGTTTCTAGCTCTAGGTGAAAGTTTTCCAGGCATTAGGAAGTCTCATTTTTGTGACCTTCCTTCAGATTCTCCACCTTTTTTATATTTTTTATTTTTTGAATGCTGATCTGAAGGTCTCAGATAAGTTTCAGATACTCTCAGGAAAACTTGCCCATACAGGTTAGCCTATGCACAGATTTTAAGAACATTTTAATATAAGCAGTTGATGCTCTTCTTACTTTCTGCCAGATCAAAATGTAATTATTTATCACTGGTTTTGTTTATGAAACAAGGGGCAAATATCCATTGAGGATTTTTACGTCTTCTGCATCATTGACAATGTTTGAAACTAACCACCCCTGTCTAGTAACTGTTCTGTACCAGGTCTACAAATTCCACTGTTCCTAAGAGTTGCCAAATATTCTTACCATTACTAGCCCATTGTCTTTAAATTTTCTACTTTTAGATTTCCATGTCAATTTGGACGAACAGTTACTACATTGTTAAATGTTTCCCCTTTCAGTCAAATAAATACATTGGCTCAAGCAGAAGGGAGGCTTAGTAAGTGACTTACTCCAGATCCAAATGGTGCTGCACCTTGGTCAGTTCTCAGCAGACCTCCAACAAACATCTCCTCATTGTGCACTCAGATGGACAAAACTGGGCAGCAGCTGGGAAACTTCTTGAATCTGTGCTCCTTGTCCAGTCCCTCTCATGTGCTCTTAAATTCACACCCCCCACCATAGCCTCTCTATTACACTGGCATGTACAGACTCTGCAGATGCCCCTGGTCCTCCATGCAGTTTGGCCAAGAGTCCAAGGTTTCTTTGGGAAGGAATTTTTTGCTATGTTTTGGGGTTGTTTTCCCTCCCTTTCAGTTTCTAACTAAAGGTGCATCTCTTCAGCTTGTGACAAGGAATGAATTGACGCTGTCCTTCCCTTTGTCTGTCAGCCTTTTAGCCCTGAAGAATCGTGAGGCAGTGCTGGTCCTGTGTTATGCAGTGCTGGAGGGAAACTGTCTCTCATCAATGCTCACCCAGGCCTGGAAGGAGATGGAAAAAAGAGTCTTTGGGTTCGGAGACTCGGTAAATGCACTGATGTCCACCTTTGACCTCCTACTGTGTGCAGGGCTCCCTGTCTTTTCAGGTGCCACCTCCTGGGAGAAGCTGACCTGGGTGACCAGGGAGGCAAGCTCCAAGCCTGGGCTATGGGAGCTCCTCAGTCTTCTGTTCTAGGAGGCTTCTCAGTCTTCTTTTTCCCCTGTAACCTTGCTGTTACATCCACCCTAGGTGTGTGACAACCTTGGGCGGCGTCACACAGACCTGTGCCCCAGCTGTGCTTTCTGCTCACTGAAGAGGGAGCAGTGTCAGAACATCAAAACCCTGAACCGTGTTCGCTGCAATACAAGTGGCTTCTCCAGCTATATCAACTCTCAGATCTCAGCCCAGCACCGGGATGCACAAAATATGGTACGAGTGAGCTTTGTGTCTTGCTTGTCTCTGCTGAGAAGCCTGGAGTGGGAGGTGGGGAAGGGGAGGAAGAAGCATGTCTCACTTTATCTCACCCCTTTGCAGACCAGTTCCCCAGAGCCCCTGGAGTACTATGGCATGGATCTTTTCAAAGGGCTGAGGTCGGAGTACTGGTGCAGCCAGATGGCCATCCATGGCTGTGAGGACTCTAATGTGACCCTCTGGCTGAAGGCAGAGTACGCTGCCTTCCAAGATGGAGATGCCTCAGGCAAGGTGGGTGACCACCAGGGGATGTTCCCATCCCTCCTTGTCCTCTTCTTTCTCTGACCTTTATTCCCATCTCCCCAGATATGTGACTCAAGTGGAGTACAGCACCCCAACTACTGCATGTTCAAGAGCCACCAGTGCCTCCAGATGAGCATCTACAACCAGAGGGTGAGAAGCAGCTACACTGCCTTTTTCACAGCCTGCTCCTCCATGGCTGTTCCCTCCACAGCCAGCCCCAAGTCCCTGCAGGACTCACTGACCCACTGCTTTTCCTTCCAGGAGGACAGAATTGAGTGTGCTTCTGGGGTTGACAAATAAGTTGCCCAAGCAACTGGAGTGTCATTGGTGGGTGGGATTTGCACAGAGGCTGTAAGGGATGACAGTGGAGACAGACGCTAATGGGGAGAAAGAGGAGCTGTGGGAAGCCTCCCACCTGTCAGGGTATCCCTGTATATCCCTGCAGTGGAGGATCTCCCCCATCTGCTGGGTGCTTCCTAGGTGGTAACAACAGAGCAGGACAGAGGACTAGTCTGTATCTTGGAAAACACACATTTCAGCTATCATACTATTCCTTCTGCTTCCCAGCTGGTTCTACCCTCTTCCTTCTAGTGCCCCATCATCCCAGATTCCAAATGCCATTCACCATGGAGGTTCTCTTTCTCTGGGGGAAGGATGGGCAATGGTATCTTTCCTATGAACCTAGGTTCTCCTTGCAGGTGACTCGTCGTGCATGCAAGAGAAATGAGACCTACCGGGTGCTGAGTGTGAAGGAAGGAGACAACGAGGTGCAGCTGTGGCATGACAAGTTCCTCAACCTCTCCAAGCAGCAATCAGAAAATTATTAAAGTTTGTAAAGTTTGTATTAATACTTGATTGTATTAAAGACAATCATGTTCAACCTTTGACCAAACACCACCATACTCACTAAACCACATCATGAAGTGCCATGTCTACTTGTTTTTTGAACACTTCCAAGGATGGTGATTCCAGCACTTCCCTGGTTAGCCTGGTCCAATGCCTGACCACCCCTTCAGTGAAGACATTTTTCCTAATAGCCAGCCTGAACCTCCCCTGGTGCAACTTGAGGTCATTTCTTCTTGTCCTAGCACTTGTTGCCTGGCAGGAACAACCAACCCCCACCTCGCTACAATCTCTTACAGGTAGTTGGAGAGAGAGAGAGAGAGTCCCCTTTTCTCCAAGCTAAACAACCTTAGTGCCCTCAACCACTCCACACACTTCACAGGTTTTGTTGCCCTTCTCTGGACATGCTCCATCACCTCAATGTCTTTCTTGTAGTGAGGGCCCAAATTGAACACAGGATTCAAGGTGTGGCCTCACCAGTACTGAGCATGGGAGGACAATCACTGCCCTGTTCTGCTGGTCACACTATTGCTGATACAGCTCAGGATGCCATTGACCCTCTTGGACACCTGGGCACACTGTTGGCTCATGTTCAGCCAGATGTTGACTAGCACCTCCAGGTCCTTTTCCTCTGGGCAGTTTTCCAGATGCTCTTCCCTCAGCTGTAGCACTGCATGGTATTGTCATGACCCAAATGCAGACCTGGCATTTCACCTTGTTGAATCTCATGCAGTCAACCTTGGTCCATCGATCCAGCCTGTCCAGATCCCTGTGCAGACACTTCCTGCCCTCCAGCAGATCAACACACCTACCCAGCTTCGTGTCAGCTGCAAACTGACTGAGGGTGCCCTCAATCCCCTTGTCCAGATTGTTTATTGATTGATAAAGATATTAGACAGACCTGGGCCCAATACTGAGCCCTGGGGAACCTCACTAGTAACCAGTCACAAGCTGGATGTGGCACCATTCTCTGGGCCTGGCTATCCCAACAGTTTTTAGCACAGCAGAGTGCACCCATCCAAGCCATGGGCTGCCAGTTTCTCTAGGAGAACGCTGTGGGAAATGGTTCAAAGGCTTTGCTAAACTCCAGGTAGACAGCATCCACAGCCTTTCCCTCATCCACTAGGTGAGTCACCTGGTCATAAAAGGTGATCAGGTTGGTCAAGCAAGACCTGCCTTTCATGCAGGCTGGGCCTGATACCCTGGTTGTCCTGCATATGCTGTGTGACAGCACTCAGTATTATCTGTTCCATAACCTTCCCCTGGCCCTGAGGTCAGACTGAATGAGGGGAGCCTCACTGTGGCAGCTGCTGGAACTCCTCTTGGAAATGTTTTCTCTAGCCAAAGGAACAGCTGAGCACTGGAGAAGGCACTTCTTGCATCCTTTCCTATTTACATAGTTCGCTGTACCATTCCTCCAAAGGATGAGTTTTACTGTATAAAGAGCCCGTTTGATTTTACAAACCACTGTTCTATTACACCCCTCAGTGACCTCTCTCCTGCCCAACATGTATCCTCATGCTATCCTGCTCTGCATACTGATGTTCCTTGCTTACTGGAGCCCATGTGTCCCCTGAGCACAAGGACTCCAGCATGGCATTGTCCCGTCCCAGCACACAGGAGGGAGCAGAGCCAGGGGACATCCAGTTCCCAAATGCAGCATGTAGGCAAGGAACTTTTGTGTGCACTTTGCTTTCCGTTGCAGCTGGTTTCTTTCTGAAGTTTAGGAGTTTATTTGGTTGTGTCCTCCAACCCTCCATCTGGAAAATTAATTCAAGTCACAAAAACCCCACTGAGACTGGTGAGAGGGTGCTGTGTGGGAAGCATATGGGAGCTGATGTCACCCCTGGACATTTCCCCGGGTTGGCTTCTCCCTGTGGCCTTGCAGTCCCTTGACAGCCTTCTGCTACCCCATCACACACCCCCTCAGCGGCATCTCTGCACCTCCACTAGGTGCCGGCACTGCTTGCACTTGACAGAGCAGCACCAGTGAAACTTGCAGCTGCAGGGCTCCACCACCTCTGCCTGAGCCATGAGGAAGCCCCTGCCGCAGCACAGGAGCTCACAGCCATCCATGGCCAGGGATGTCTGGTTGCACTGGTGGCCAGAGGTGCCAAAGATCCCATGCCGGGAGTCCCAGTTGCAGAAGTCTGGGCTGGCCAACAGTTAGACCAGGTTGTGAGCTGTGTAGGGCTTGAAGTGAGAACTCTTGGGCACCAGGAGCTTTCCGGACCCCTGAGGCAGGAGAAGGGATGGGAACCTGTTCTGACCTGTGAGGCTGTGGGGTGGGGAACAGATCTGCCCAGAGACAGAGGATGTCCAAGGGACCAGACCTGAATGTGGCCCCTGCAGAAGGCAGGCGTTTTTGCTGAAAAGAGGCTGGAGGGGCAGGGAAGCCCTTCAGAGCAGAACAGAAAAAGTAATTTCCTTTGTAGAAAGGCCAAGGAAGGTAAATCCCAACTAGGCTCTGTGAGAAAAAGGAGACTTCACAGAAGTGGGTAGGGGAGGTTGGGACCACCCTCCACATGGGCAAGGAGCCAGCTCAGGTAGAGCAGCACAGCACTGGGCTAAGAAAGGCAGCAGGATGCAGACTCCTCCGGGAGCATGTGGCTGCCCCAAACTGCCTCTTAGGGTATGGAGGTTGGACTGAGCTTCCCAGCCCTTGTTCCTGCCCTTACCTTCCTTCCAGCCTCATTATTGTGCACGTTTGGCTGGAGGAGACACCATGGCTTCTCTCAGGGTTTTCTACAAAGGCTTGAGAGAAGGCAATACTATAAGACAGGTTGTCAGAGCAGCTTGACCATTGGAAACCTGCAGATGGAAAGCAGACGTGAGATGAAGGAGAAGCCCTGAGAAAATCTCCCAAAGGGCTGTGGAAAAGGGAGATGTCTCTT